TTCCCCTCTTGCTTCTCTTGCAGAGCACTACAAACATGACTGGTTTCCAGAGAAACCCTTCAAAGGCTCTGGGTATCGCTGCATCCGGATCAATCACAAAATGGACCCCATTATCAGTAAGGCAGCTAGCCAGATCGGACTCAGCCTACCACAGCTCTACCAGCTCCTGCCCAGTGAGCTCACGCTCTGGGTGGACCCCTACGAGGTGTCTTACCGTATCGGTGAGGATGGCTCCATCTGCGTCTTGTACGAAGCGACTGCAACAAAACCTGTGAGCTCCTATGGGATGCTCACCTGTAAGAACCAGATGATGTTAGGTCGCACCAGCCCTTCCAAAAACTACATCATGACTGTCTCCAGCTAAATACTCCTCTTATCCTTACACTGCCAAGACACAGGCTACTGTATACCTCACCTGAGGATCTATTTTTAAGATGAAGAGCTATTTATATTTTTTAAAAAAATCCAAGAAAATCCAAAATTAAAGTATCGGGCACTGCTTTGGACAGAAGTGGTGTCTTAGGTGCCTTTTTTAAAGCTGTTACAAGCTTATGAGTTTTTATTGTGAAGCCAATATCTACCTAATTAGTGTTGGATGGCAATTTTGGTGGCCTGGCTTGCTCACTCAGGCAGCTTGGAATGGAGGAAGAAGGGGAAGAGCCAGACTGGGAAGTGTGGCTTGGTGATGGGAGATGGCCATGTTACCTTCTCCTGGTCCTGGTACCCAACAGTGTTGCTGTATTGCCAAGTATTGCAATGTTGTTGGAGAAGGGATGAAGGAGGTGCTCTTTCCTTCACTAACTCCCTCACTCCCCAGGTGGTGTGATCTCTCTCTCTGGGGCCTGGATGTAGCATTTGGGGGAACCTCACCTCAGGGCTCAGTGGTGCTGGGGATCCCTCTCCTTGCTCTTGCACATCTGTTCTGGACCTGCTGACTGTAGGTGCTGCAGCTCTGCCCTGCCCCCTCCAGCATGAACTGGTGGGGCACAGGGCACCTCCAGCCTCTACATCTCCTGTCTGCTGCCAGACTGAAGAGGCCACAGGGGTATTGGTGCCCTGTGGAAAGGGGCCTGACAGAGAAGTGCTGGAGCTCAGACTATATGGAGAAGGTTCCCAGGAGGAGTATTGCAGCTGCTGGGGTGGTACTGGAGTGCTGTGTCTGTTCCTGGTGCTCCCCAGTATCTGGGCTTTGCCCACTGCTCATGCAGCACACAGAAGGTTATTAAAACCATAAAATTAGCACTAAACAGCTGTGAGCAACAGTTGTGCATCTCTGTGGGGCTTAGACATCCGGACCATGACCTGTGTGTAGCCCTCTCTGTGCCCTGAGAGTGGACTCTGGCCTCTTGCTTGTACGAGTCGCCTAATCCTATGCTGATGACCTGCAGTGTTGCTTCCCCAACTGAGCTGTAGCAACTCACCTTGTGCCCTAGAGGTTGGTGTATAAGAACCCCTTTCACCTCATCTCTTAATCGGAAGTTTTGGGAGTATCTTCCCACTGTGTGTGTGGCTGATCGAAGGTTTGGACTTCTGGGTGCTTTGGTATCATGAATTTTTTTTAATTCAAACACTTCTTCCTCCCTCTCTTCCTCCCCTGAGTAATCAGCAAGTGACTGACGGTAGGAGCTTGTGTCCGTTGATAAAGGGGCATCGGTTGATTCTGATTTCTTGGTACATAACTGTTTTGCACAAGTAATGCCTGATTCTGTGCTTTGCCTGTTCAAGCAAAACTCCTCGTGGAGTTCTGGTGGTACTTGTATTCAGGGAGACTTTGCTTGAGTGTTCAGGATTTGGCCCTTAAACTGCTCTGGCAACTACAGATGGGGTGGGAACGGCAAGGGCTGCCCCGAGAACTCTACCTGTTGGGGGATGAGCCTTTACCAGGACGCTGTATGTCCGTTGCCTTTTTATTAACCAGCTGGTGGTACTCTAGTGTTCCTGGGAGAAGTAATTTAAAAACCAGGGCATTGACGTGGTTTGGTCTAATGAAACTTTCTCAGATCCGTTTTGCGGCATGTATTTTTTACCTTCCTCTTTGACCTGGCAGCTGACTGGTATAACCAGAGTTCTTTCCCGGCCTTTGAGTCAAGTTCTGAAACATTTGTGCAATATATTTCCAAATCTTGGGTGCTCTGGGAGAGGAAGGAAGCCTCCCATTTGTCACAGTTCTTAGCCTGTTTATTTTAAGTATATTAGAAAATCCAGCAGAGCTTCCCAACTCTCTGATTACGTCTCATGTGAGAAGCTAGGTTTGGATTTTTGTAGTTTTAAATCGTGAACTGCTGAACTGGAAAACCAGCCTCAATTGTTTTATCCTTTAAAGATGCCAAGTGGTGAGTTATTTGTCCTTGAGCAGTAATAGCAGACTGTAGCTCTGAAGTTGCATCACTTCCTTCTGCATCACTTAAGTTTCTCACATCAGCAAAGCAGAAGCCGAAATAAAGCACTGGGGCTTTTCCCTTGGTGAACTTGTGCAATAGGTGACGTCGCAACGAAGGGGGTGTTTGGGAACTTCCAGAAAGTTAATTATGTTTTCAAGGAGGAGAGTTCCAAGTGCTGCTTGGAGTCCTTGTTTTTCACCTGGTTTTGTGGGAAGCCTGGGATGAGACCTGTAATGTGTCCAGGACAAACAGTGTGTGCTTGGCTGGACTGGGAGTTTCGCAAAGGCTGGTACTTCCTCGGGTTGTAATTTGTCATGATCAATGTGGTCTTTTAAGGTTTATCCTCATACTCTGTTCCCTCTGTCTCGCCAGAAAAATTTGTGGACAGCCAACCCCCAACCCAAGGAATGTTCTGTGATTGCTCTTAATGTACCCCCACTTTCAAAACAAACAGCCAAACCTCGTTCTTTTTGTCCCTGGCGTGGAGGAGACTAATGTTAAAGGTGTCTTGTTTTTAAGTTTCGAAACCAACCAGACTTGGTTACAATCCATTTCTTTTGTAGCTGGTTACATGTAAAAGCTGTGAATTGGTGTGCTCTGTTGCCTTCTGCCTATAAGCCTGATAGACTCAATTGCGGAGCTGAATGGTGTGCATTTTAAGAACGTGTATTTTGGGGGTTTTCCCCCTCATTTTTTAAACAAGCTGGACTGTTGAACGGGACCTGCTTTTTGTATTTGGTGAAAAAAGTAGAATGTTTGTAAGCTATGTTTGGAGGAGGGATTGGATGGTTACTAATTGTATAGCAGTGTTTTTATATACAGAATGTACAGATCCTTTGACAAAGGTATGCTTTTGTTACTTTAATAAAAACGTAGCAGTATAAATGAGCCTTGTTTTCTTGCTAGAACTCTTTTGTACTTACAAATGAGGGTTGGGATTTCAGTCTAAAACCCACACTGCAAATGCTGTGGGCTTGGTTAAAATGTGGGATAGCTGTTAATGTCCAGATGTGTCAAGGAGGAGGCTTGGAAAAAAGCTCCTTATGCAGCATGCTGACTCTAAATCTGGCCCTTTATTCCTCTGGTTTAAAGACTGGGAATAGGTCTGACTACTGCAGGGCTGTAGGCGTCTGGCCTCCTCTCCTTCCCTGTGCTGACTTTATGGGGTTCTGGCTTAGGCAGCAGGGGATTTATTCACTGCAGTGTTGTAGAAATCCTGGGTCCTGCCAGTGTAGGAGGAAAGGGTTATAAAGTAGATTGCCAAATCTTTTTCTGTGCTAGAAGCAGCATTAAAAAGTCTTGGAAATCAGAAATGAATGATCCTAATCAGGGAGCAGACCTTGTGGCGGGCCATAATCTCTCCTTGGTGAACCTCCCCTTCCCCACTGTCCTTCCAAGGGCAACTGAGCCAACAGCTGCTTGACTGCAAAGGAGGAAGAGGAGAGATCATGGGATTGAAATGTTCAGGCCAGTAGAGGATTTCTGGGACTGTCATGATAAAGGCAGCTAGGGTTGATTCACTGGGAGATCCTGTTTTGGCTGTGCCTGAAGGCTGGTGACTTCAGCATGTCCAGCCCTGAGCTGTAACCCTGCTCACTGGTATCAAGCTAATGTCTTCAACCCCCTATCAGCTCTCTGGGGCAAGCTGCCCTGGTTTAAGGACCTTAGCTGAACTGACTCGTAGGCCTGTGTTAGTGCTAGTTTCACTCCAAAATCCCCAAAGCCTTTCTGTGGAGTTCATTGGGGTACGAATTGCAGCCTGTGTGGCTCTCCCTGTGGGCTGAGGCCCTGCTTCACTCTGCAGCCCCCAAACCTGCTCCCTGGAGAAGCAGCACCGAGGAGGGACTGAAGGCCTGATCCCACTGCTCTCCTGGGTGGGTGTAAAGCCCATTCCTTCCCCCTTGGTTTTATCCAAACATGCCACCTCTAAGAAATAATCTGTGGGCCAATCTGGGAGTTGTGTCAAAGCCACTCCTTTTTGAACTCATCCCTTCATTAGTTTCAATAAACACACCCAAATTGCTGCTGCTTGAGAAACAAGGCTGTTAGAGAGGAATGGCTGTCCTGCTCAGCTGCCCATTAGCTCGGGAGTCACGCGGGTTCAAAGGCTCATTGCAGTAGGATGGATGACGGATGCCTGACCTGCCTGGGCTGGCATGGCCTGTCCACAGCCTGACCTGCCTGGGCTGGCATGGCCTGTCCACAGGGAGTGTTTGGGCTGGCATGGTCCATGGCAGGGCCGGCATGGTGCGGTCCTGCAGTCCATAGCCAGTGCTGAGATTAGCCAGAATTTGAGTCGCTCACAGCCAGGATAAAAATATGGTTCTTACGCAGGGGAGTGTTGAGTGAGGAGTCAGTGATACCCGCGCAGCAACCAGATCCCCCACGCTAGCCTTTCAATGGGTGACTCATCTACTATATTTATTTTGCTTGTCATTTTCCTTCTGGTAGGATCGCGGTACCTGGCGCCCTGTGGACAAGCTGGGGTACTTTGGGGGTGCATCTTTATTTGCCCCGCAAGCTTTTTCTAGGCTTTTTGATGCTAGACTCTAGCTTCATCATATTTTCTCACCATGAGATCCCCATGTTACAGAGGAGGCCAGTGGTGTGGACTTCTTTCTGGGGTCTGGAGGAAAAAGGGGAGTACAGGGCTATACCCCCTGCATGATATCACCTGGGACCCAGTTGCCTCCTCTGAGCTTTCAGCAGCTTGTAAAAACACAGAAAATAAAAGCACCCTTGTCCACCACTGCCCATCTTTTTCCCTGTTGAAATTTGGACTCAGTTGCTGCCAAGCTTTTGTTTGATTCTAGTTAGGATTCTTTATTTGGGTGTTTCTGGGAGGGCAGAAAAGGGACAGATCTGAGGACCTTGGGTCAAATTTTGTCCTCTGTAATCAGGCGTTGCTGTGTTATATAAATGCAGGTGACCACGCATCTCTGATGTGGCTTTGGTAACAGCTCAGTCCTTTGCCCTGTGAACCTGCCTGCAAATCACCTTGGTGCGCAGGGGCCGGTGCCTGGCCCCACCACGCTCCCATGGCCCTTCTGCAGGGACACGAGCTCCTGCGAGCCCACCAGCGCCCAGGGCTTCAACCTGGAGAGTGCCACGAGACGTGCAATTTGCACATTGCAGCAAGTTCCCCCTGCACCCATCCTGCTGGAGAGAGGAAGGGCAGGACGTGAGGACGGGGATCCTTGGGGGAAGGCGCTCTCCTGTGATCCCGGCCGTCGGACAGGGCTTTTCATGCCCATGCAGAGTAGAAAGGCCAGTGGGTTTTAATGTCCTGTCCTGCTTTACTGATGTGTGTTGGTGCAAGGCCTCCTGGGGAGCCCCAGAGCTGGGGTCGGTCTGCTGGGGAGGCGCAGACCGTGCAAGGCCCCCGGCGCCACGGGGAGCGTCCTCACCGCACGGCAGCAACCGAGCACGGGGCGGGGTCCCCCCACGTCCTTAATTCATGGCAAACTGCTTGTATTTGTGTGTGTGTGTGTGTTTAACGTCCTGCTCCCCTTTCCTGGGGTCCCTTTAACAGCAGTTGAACTTTTCTCAGTTCTAAGTTACTGAAAAAGCAGCATCAGCATTTAGGATGTGAAACTGCAATATTTTTGCATTTCCCACAGAAGCCAGACCTCTTCCCCCTTCGTCCCCGGTCCTGCTTGTCCCAGGCTCAAAGCGGTTTTACCACCCTTCACCCCGAAGCTGGGAAGAGCAGGGCGGTTTAGAAACTCTGTATTTGCGACACATTTGTTGGAAAGGGGGGAAAAAAAAATCACCCGGTTCCGGTGGCCGGAGGAGGAGGCCATCCGCCGGCCCCGCTGTCTGGGCCGCGCGGCAGATCTGTCCTGGGACAGGGGGGTGCGAGCGGGGCCGCTCCGGCGCGGAGGAGCGAGGTGCCCGGCAGCGAGACGCTCCGGCCGCCGCCGCTGTTGTTTGTCTCCGCAGCTGGGGCAGGGGCCGGAGCGG